AGATCCAAAGTCCCCTTGCTCCTCTTCATCTTCCCCATCCTCCTGGGACTCACCATCGTTTCCTGCTCCTCCTCCCATGCTGAATGGAAAGAAGTTTCCTAAGGTGTTCTTCATTCTTTCTGAGAACGATGACGACGTTGTTTGCCTCCCAGTTCCGCTTGCCATCATAGTGTTGTCTGTCGGAGATCTTCTAGTTGTCGCTATTTCAGTTGAGATGTCGGACAGTTCCGACATCTCTTCCCGATCCAATGTCCCGGTGGAAGTGGCAAAATCGTGGCCTTGTTCCACCGGAGTAGATTCACCCGCCAGCCTTCTGCCTCTCCCTTCCAGTCCATTTACTCCCTGGTTGTCGTTCATGGTATGGTCCGTATTGACCTCCACTTCTAACAGTTCTCCTCGCTCTTCTGAGGTCTTCTGGCTTCTCGTTTCAACCATTCTGCCTGAAACCGTCTCCTCTTTATCGGACCGGGATCGCTTGATCCAATCCACAAAAGGATTGGTCATCGTTTTTCTTTGCTTTTCAGGTATGAATTTCCTAGAGCTATTACCTCGTTTTGGTATCCTTGACTTGTCTAGACTCATTTTCTATTTGTCACTTTTTGATACCTATACTTAACTCGATTGCTAGAGACTTTATAGTTTTATCAACAATAATAATGACACAACACAATAAATTCCACAAGATTCTATTAAATAGTGACCAAGAATCCCTGTATGTTGTCAGAGTACAGTTTGTATAAGATTTATTCACACTAACCGATTATCGGTCCAAAGATTTTGAAATTAGCACAATGTGATGTTATCAGTCAATTTAAAAGATAGTGTACTCACTACCCTACCAAGCACAGTTTATGTTGATTTAAAATCAAAAACAAAAATATATATTGACACAATATGAATGTATATGTAAAAAAAAACGTATGTCTCTTGTACTCTTAGTCAGTCGCAGTACAATAGTCGAACCTGTCTTTTAAAGAAAAAGCTTTCCCTGCTTGGTGCTGCACCAAACAGACAAAACTTTGAAGGCAGTAATTTTCTCAAGTGGGCGTCTATTGCACCCACCGAGTACTGTGTTACCTATCTGCCTTCGGACTGCCCGAGCTAGACCTACTAAAATCCTCAGGGCAGTCACTTTTCCCAAAAACGTATTATGTTTCAATCCACACCAATGAGTCACGCTCTTTTTAATTTAGACTTAGTGTCGCGAATATCCGAGTTCGGACCTGTTTTGTATTAGTCTGGTTCTTTTTGAAAGGCAAGTTACCAGTGCAGTCACTGATACCTAGCCTGTGTATTATTAACCTAATACCTCTCGCTTTTTAGTCTTTCTTTCGTTTACCTAAGTCCTTAATAAAAAAAATACCCCTCCGGATTGGCACAAATAGGACCCTTCCGGACTGTCAGAATATAGACCCCTCCGGATTGAGACCCCTCCGGATTCGGACCCCTCCGAATTAGCAACTATAAGACCCCTCCGGATTCGGACCCCTCCGGTTTTGTGGAAAGTAGACCCCTCCGGATTCGGAGCCCTTAGCTTTGTCAAAGTAGCTTTTCGTAGTTTTCTTAATTTCAGCTTATACCCCTCCGGATACGTTCTCCGATGTAATTATGCTCTTTCAATTAACTGGGAAGGGTATTTACTACCTTCCTAGACCCTTCCGGATTGAAGTTAAGCCTCTTATTTGACAATTCACGCTAACGGTGAAGGGTCTTATCGCTGGCCTAACTTCGGCTCGATTAAGCTTTTGCTGTGCCTTTAGCCCTCCCTTTTGGTCTAGAATGGCCTAAAGTTACTTTATTCAACCGCTATTACCTTTTGGTAGGGGTCTAAGGGTTTTTCAGAAAAATTTATAAAACGTGAAGGGTGTACCCCTCCGGATTTGTGTAATTTGCTAAAAACAATCTCAAAAAATTTTCTCGCTTACTTTTCCAAAAAATTTCCGACCCTATCAGTAAACTCAGCTAATTCCTGATCTATTGGTACCAAGATCAACTCAATATGCTCAGTAGTTCCAAAGTTATTAACCAAAACGTCTTTTTTGTAAACTCAAAAAATTTCTCACTTATAGGTTCCGCCTAACTTTTTCCGCAAATCTGGTCCTTTCGACCTAAAAATTATTGATCTGAGCTCAGAAGGCCTATACTCTTCTAGTTCAATGCAAAAGACTCGATCTAGAACGCTTTTGTAGAAAAAATTTGCGAAAAACTATGCTACCTGGACCCCTCCGGATTGATGAATCCACCAAATCAAACACGTTATGTTCGATTTCTCTTCAACCCGGAAGGCTTTCGGGTCGCGGGTTTTAAAACTCGTAGATTCACTAGTGGACGTTGTCCGAACAACTATTTTTACTGTCCTAACTCAAAGATTTCAAAAAATTTTCTGATTTTATAGTGTTTCTTACTATCAAAAAATGGGAAAATTTGGTTTTTGGTACCAAACTAGTTCCAACCACTTCCGAACTAAAGTTAACCGGTTCTACTTATTACAGTAGTGCAGTTACGATGTAACACACTAACTTAGCGCTTTTTTCCGTTTCAAAAAATATCGATATCTCAAAAATCGCGACTTGTGGGGGGATCAAAATATCGCAATTTTGATCCTAAAAACCGGTCTGTTTTCGTTGTTTTTCACTGAAAAACGATATAAGACTATTAATATAGGCTATATAAGTAATAATATTAGTAATACTATACCCCTCCGGGTCTGTTTAATATCCGAATTAAGGTGCTTAACTCGGATATTCGCAGTTCGGTGAAGGGTCACTACAGTGCAGCACTGTCGAGCCCCCCACAGATTACTATCTTACTTTTTGTACCAAAAGGGATACAAAACTCGTTAACGATACCCAACAGTCGATTGTTGTTGTCGTTGAGCCCCTTCTTGTTGCTCCTTGAACTGCTTGCCGGATCGGTCTTCACCCAAGACCCTTCCGAATTGAGCGCAAATCAGCTGACCCCTCCGGATTGAGCGCAATTTATCATTAACGTGCTTAAATGCTCAAATAACCCTACAGTACAAGCCTCACAAACGGGCCTCAAAATTGATCGTAACGATCCTGACTGATATAAATGCCTGTAACAACAATATATCTATCAACAACAAACGGGGGGGTTGAATCACATCTTGTCTGGGGGGATGATTTCTACTGATTTTTTTACTTTTCTACTGTTTTTGGTTTTTTCGGTTATTTTTTTATGTTTTTTGTTTTTCTTGAGTACTATACTACTTTTTGTTTGGTTTTACTTATATCTTTCAGTGTTTTTGGTCACCAACCACTCAGGGGACGAGGGGACGGCCGATCCCCCCACCCTTCCTGGTTCGTGAATTTTCGGTCTTAACTAGGTTAAAAAACTATTCACGGCAATTCGGAAGGCCTCCGCGTTCCGAACTACCCTTCCGCCCCGGCGATTTAGGCCTATTAAGGGCGTTAATGTGAGCATCCGCTCGGCGCGGAGTGCTCGTTAACGGTTCTGCCGGTCATGATGTTAAAAAAGAATAACACCCAGGAGCGCCATAAAAACATACATGTAACATTCGCCCGGAAGATACATATCGACGGAAATGTGTCGTCATCATTCGAATTTTTGAAAATTTAAAATACCAGAATATTCCAGCCCTCACCGTTTGGCTAAACGTTCCAATAACACTCTTAATTCTTAAAAACCACCAATCCGGAAGGCTTGCTGCTAAAATTCCGAATTCTGCAGAGATTGCATTTTTCACATTCTGGTCGAATGTCACACTCTTGAGCCAATGGTTATAGGGCCTATTTTTCTTAAACCTCATAAGTGGCCGAAGTAGGCGACTGTTACAGTCCGGAGGGGTCTCGGGAGAAAACTGTAACTCTGTTTTTATGAACTTTTAGCTTCTGGTCAATGTCCTGAATTGAATTAATAACATCTAAATTCGTTTTTAGATTATGAGAAGCTAGGAGTTGAGGGAAAGCATTGATCCATCTTCGATGGATATGATGATTTTTATCTACTGAACAAAACAATAGTAATGGAGTGACCTCGTAGTCTGGGGATACTGAGACCCAGCCTTGTGCTCACTATTTCTGCATGTAATTAAGTTCTGATTAGAGCGTTCTGATGGAAGCCGGAAACAGTAACGTTTTGGTCGACCCGATGTTAGAGACCACCAAAAGAACTGGCTTTGGCAGAGACGGTGAAAAGCATGTAGAGCTGTGTTTAGACGTTAGCTAGTCGTTTTAGAACCTAGCTTTCTTTGCCGTCGATATGTACCCCCGGGCGAATGTTACAAACATTTAAAATTTTAAGGAACTGTTAGATTATGCTTCAGATCAGGATCAAATGGACCCTTTAAATACGAAAATTTACTCTGAGAGACAGAAATTCAGGCTGCCGAAGAGTGCTCTGTTTTTCTGGGGAGGATCGATAATGGCATCGATATTTTTCTTTCGTTTATCCTACAATCACGAGTACAGAGCTTCATTGTTTGCGAAGAAATCTCAAACTCTGAAATACTTTTACAAAATGCGTGATAGTATACCGATGTTTCCACCCCTTCGTGAAATTGATTTGATAAAATTTGATGCCACAGAAGATCAGAAGCAATTTTATCAATAATAAATTTCTTGTGCACTAGCGTGCCTCATAAATCTTAAAAGGCCTGAAGGTAATATAGAGATTAAATTCTTGTTGCGCTCACCCCATTCCCCTCGAGTAAATGAAAAAAACCCCTCGTTTTAACCAGAGGAACGGTATCTAACGTACAATTTCCCCCCAGTCACGTATTAATTTTGATAACTGATTGCGTATAAAATATGCATTTTAAACAATCAGGTTAAATCTATTGCACGGTTGAACCGAATTGTACGGTTGATCAAGACATCACAATTTTTTTTATAAAAAGTTGCATGGTCGGAACATTGTCCTACTTGCACAGCGAACGGCTATTCTTGCTTGTTTGTCAACTAAAATACAAGTTTTGACGCATTTGTTGCTAATGCAAAAACTGGCAGTCTTATTTTTTCAGACCTGACCAATGTCCGCCGATTCAGAAACTCTGAAAATATTGCTTGATAAAGGGTCAAAAGGACTCGGTTTTCACATTAGAGGAGGATATGATAATCAACATATTCCGGGTGATACAGGAATTTTTGTCACTCGACTGAAAGAAGGGGCAGCCGCACACAGTGATGGGAGACTCAAGGTACCCCTTAGACTGACCTTAATAGCGTATTTGATAACATAACACAGCTTTGATTATTTCGGCATAGACTATCCCAATGTATTACCCTTGCGATAAACAAGTGTATTGCAACGGGATACCAGGCTTTCCCCCTAAAGAACTTTGTTCACAGATTTGCTCGAGGTGAAAATGAAAAACACGTGTTTCAACTTGTTTTATTTTAAATTCAATACAGCATTCTGCGCATCTAGCTTAAATGTACTACCCACTCTTGAGGCGATAAAGGATTGTAATTTGAGGCCGGCCTGTTTTTTGTCAGCATAAATCCCGTAACAATGACTATTTTTGATGATTCAGCTTTGTTGTTATCATTCTGAATGCTCTTTAAAGCCCGAATGGTGAGTTGTAAGATTTTCCGCGGATTATTTTGCATAGAATTTAAAATATAAAATGTTTAAATAAAAAACAAGTTTCGAAGTTCATTTTAAATGTTTTGTTTCCTCGATTCATCTGCACGTAATTTTTTGCATCCGAATATTAGGCTCGCGATTAGCATGCGTGATCTAATGGGCTCATAGACTTTGTTCAAGTAAACACCTTAACTTGTCTAACTCATTTTCTCAAATCTGTACTTTCGTCAACGAACAGAATAATAATACATACACGGATACACCCCAAATCCAGGGTCCTATGTATTGAGATTAGGGATACATTTTTCAAAAACATTTTCAGAAAAAAAGAAATAGGACAAATTTAGAAAAATCAACCAATGACGTGGCAGTGAAAAATGTATTTCCTTTCAGCTTGGCAATTTTATTTTCAATCTACAATCAGTGAAAAATTTGAGAGGAATAAAAATTGCTGAAAACTGGAAAAAAGTGGGATAAAAAAGCACTGCCTTTTATTGCTCGCTTTATACGCTGCATAGTGCCGTTCACTTTTTGTGAACCGATTTTTGCAATGTTTAACAATTTCATGTATAAAGAATCAGATTCCTTTTCTGTGAACAGAATTTTCAGCGTTTAAAAATTTGTTCTCCGCAGGCATGATTAAGAAATTTTGTTCACAAGATTAATGACATGTATAAAAATTAAAATAAAATAAAAATTAACCAGGAGAGAGTGAATAAGAATGCTTGCTTATGATTGGTCAATCGAAACCTTGTACTCTGATTGGTCAATTTTGGTGACGATTTGAATATCTCTTAATAAGGAGAAAAAGAATTTATTCCAAAACACACAAATTTGTTTGTTGACTTTTTTCATTTTTAAATTTAAAAAACAAAATTATCCCTGCTGAAAATTGTCAACTAGTTTATACATTGAATAAAACTGTTCACATTTTTAGAAACCAATTTGTTCTACCTTAAAGAATTTGGTCCCCCATGGATGCTTAAGAAATTTTGTTCACAAAATGTGAACAGATTAAAAACATGTACAAAAAAGAAAAAAAAATTAAAAATATAGGAAACTGAAAATTACCGAGGAGGGAGTGAATAAGGACGTTTGCTGGTGATTGGTCATTTTTTGTGTCAATTTGAATATCTTCTTCATAAGGAGGTAAGCATTTTATTTCAAAACACACAAATTTGTTAGTTGCCTTCTTTTCATTTATAAAATTAAAAAACAAAATTATCCCTGCTAAAAACTATCAACTAGTTTATAGATTGAATAAAAGTGTTCGCATTTTATGAACAAATTTTTCCCACCTTTAAAAAATTGGTCCCCATGGATGCTTAAGAAATTTTGTTCACAAAATGTGAACAGATTAAAAAAACATGTATAAAAAAAGAAAAAATTATAAAAATATAAGGAAATGAAAATTAACGAGGAGGGAGTGAATAAGAATATTTGCTTGTGATTGGTAAATTTTTGTGTCAATTGGAATATCTTCTTTATAAGGAGGTAAACATATTATACTAAAACACACAAATTTGTTAGTTGCCTTCTTTTCATTTATAAATTTTAAAAACAAAATTATCCCTGCTAAAAATTGTCAACTAGTTTACAGATTGAATAAAAGTGTTCACAATTTGTGAACAAATTCTTTCAATGTTAAAAAAATTGATCTCCCTATGCATGGTTCAGAAGCTTTGTTCACAAAATGTGAACAGATTAAATACATGTAATAAAAATATAAAAACAAAAAGTTAACCAGGAGGGAGTGAATAAGAACGCTTGCTTGTAATTGGTCAATAGAAACCTTGTACTGCAATTGATCAATTTTTGTGTCGATTCGAATGTTTTTTTTTATCAGCAAGAAAACATTTTATTCCAAAACACACAAAATTGTTTGTTACTTTTTTCCATTTGAAAAGTGTCAATTAGTTGATATTTTGAATACAACTGTTCACATTCTGTGAAGAAGTTTTTTTCAACGTTCAAAAAAAATTTGTTCGCCCCGTGCATGATTAAGAAATTTTGTTCACAAAATGTGAACAGATAAAGACATGTTTAAACAATGTTCAACCAAGAGGATGGGGGAGAAATGCTTGATTGTGTTTGGGAAGCTTTGTAATGTTAAAATAGATTCACAATTTTTGAATAGATTTGTTCAACGTTTTTTTTCTTGTTATTTTTAGAAAAATGCACAAGACCTTTCCTCAAATGCATCTTTGGACTGAAAACACTCTTTCATCATTCCGTACAGCATTAGGCGGGCCCTTGAGTCTTGAAGGGCAATGGTCTTGCAGAAGTAGCGTATCCTAAAAATATTACAACCGTTAACACTGGGACTTTTGATTTCAACTATTTTAATAAATGGTATAGAAACATGCGAATTTGCGAATTTCTCTAGGAAAATACATAACTTTTGAAAATTGATTTAAAGCATGAACAAAGCGATTCATGTTTTTTCGCGGGCGCTGGAATAAAGAGCAACATAATAATTACATAACTAGCTAAATAAACGAGTCTGAAATCTGGAACAGTAATTCAAAAATTTCAAACTGTTCAAATGATTTTTACATTTTGGGGTTGAGCAGATCTGAGGATAAAATTCACATGGGTTCAGTTCTGGACGAACCAGCATTTCCGGTTGATATAGGACGTTATCATCAACTATTCGTCTATTGTGATTTCAAAGAACCCAATGTGGGTAATACAAAAGCACCCTTGTTGAGAAGTCATTGTCCTCAATTGAAAATGCCAATTCGTCCACCGGCAGTCTTCATCAAGTGCTTGATAGTTCACAGAAAAAAATCCTGACAAAGAAACTTTTACATAATATTTTGATTGAAATACGTACAGGCTCTGGCTATTTAATTCTGTTTACAGCTGTCGGCAGAACTTTTCTCACAGTTTTGTTTCAAAAATGTTAACTTTGGATATCTAATTTTGGTTCTAATTTGGTACGCGTGTATGTAAAACAAATTATATTGATTGTCTAAACTCTTGTTTGAGTTTCAGAGGAAAGATGAACTCACAGCAACAAAAACCAAGATTAAGTATTAGGATTGGTCAAAAGTTTTTTTATTAGATTATTAAAGTTTTGTTAAAATATAAAGTTGAAGTGTTAAAATTTTTGATTGATCATTTTGACGGACTGTCTTTCTCATTGAATGATCAATCAATTGAACGATACTTAATATTCCGCTGCTTTTTAGAGAGTTAAAATGACAGCAGTGCCAGCAGCCAAAATTAACCAAGAGCTGGAGTTGACCGTCAGATGGACGATCTCAGAAGTGGCACGATCTTAGAAAAGGCCTACTGGCGCTGGCAAAACAGGAATTTGTGTTCTAGAATATAGAAACGTTTCGACTCTTCAAAATGACCCCTTTGAGGGCTTATGTATTTGACTTCCTGGATGAACTGGAGATGTTGAACGACCGCCGAACTGCCTCTGAGTCGTGCAAATTGATGGCGGTTTCGTATCACATGAGATATATTTCATCAGTCGACGGTCAAAAATGACGGCCAAACCTCAAATAAAACAACAGTTGGTGTTCCTTTTTGTTAAATGCAATGTAGTGTGTTTTTATTCTTAAACGAATTAGTTCGATTACGGACGAGGAAAGCATCCCGTTACCGGACATTGATCGAGATACTGAGCAAGCTGTACAAGACACTGCAATCTGGGTTTTTGATATAGAAACGGATCAAAGTTGCATGCAGAACAGTAATCATAAGGCTGTTTTGTTATGCGCAAAAACACTTGAGTGGTGATCAAGAACTTATATTTAAGGGTTATGATTGCGTATCACAATTTTGTTCATACTTTTTTTGTGATCTGGAACAGGTAACAAAGTGCAAATGACTCAATGCACTTTTTGGAAGCGGATTCGTTTTTTTAACTTATTTTTGAATGGTTATATGAACAAAACAATGTATTCCAAAGATTGTTTTAAACCGCAATTGGTTTTTAACCGATCAATGGTTATCGATCTCGGGATGCTACATTTTTTCCTGCTTCACAATGTAAATATAATTGCATGCAGATGCAGCAGTAAACGGAACTTTGAAAAGGTCAATTCCACTGCAATTGACCTGGATTGAAAGTCAGTAAATTCTCAAAAAATTTGGTCTGACAGAGACAATGGGTTACTTTCCTCGCTATCTTACCTTCAGAGCGGCACTTCATCAATAGAAAATTAATGTCTTTCATGAATCAAAAGACTGCCATGTTGGAGAAAACTTCATCGAATCAAATGTGATAATTGCCAACAAATGACAAAATTTTTCTTTTAAAACTCAAGTTTTCAAAAAGTAAAAGGTCGAGAACAAGTAGTGCTCTATGCAGTTGGCCCAATCCTTGTGAAAACAAAAAGCGGAGATAATTTTGCTCGATCCCTGCGCCGTGTGAGTAAAGTCGTCTTCTGAAGAATCGTCACCTCCACTGAACCATTGGAGCCACAGTACATTGTTCAGACACATCATTTTTACATCTCAATGGGAAGAATTTTTTAAAACCGCAACAAATTTTTTCGTCGCGTTTCAGGACTTTAGATGTAACAACACAGACACACACGCACAAAATTTGATTGGCCGACTCGTTTGCCGTCAACTGCAAGAACATGGGGTCCT